TTTGCCTTTTATACCTGTAATTGAAAAAGGCAAGGAAAAAGTCCTTATTCCTGATAATATAAAAGTTTCAAACGTTCCTTATTTAAATTGGGAGCCACTTGTATCAACTCACGTCGAGCGCACGTCTAGTGCATCTGTGTTAAAGCCTCTTCCGGCCCAAAAAGTCAAGTTGATAATGAAGAAAATCGATGGATAAATAAAACAAGTAATAAGTGGTTATATGAAAATGCGCAATAATTTTTTATATGTGACCTGGTCTACGAAAAGGGAGCTTACGTGCGAAAACNTTAAAAACCTTTTTCTAATTCAATATATTTTTTTTTAACCTTTCCGAAAACGACCGCTACGTGGTAAGCAGGGGAGATATTACGCCTATTTCAAACATTTTCGATAGAACATTCAGTTAGACATAATGAGATAAACTTATATAGACGTATATGGACGGTATCACGCCCGTTTTCCAAAATTCCATAATAATTTTACTTATTTTCAAGTGATTGTTGTTAGTACTAATTTTGCGTAAAATGAGCGAGCTTAAATTTCGAAATATCGAAGTTTCAAGCATTTCTGAAATTTGCCGCTATAGAAAAGTGGGCGTAATTCTAGTCAGATTTCAATAATTTTCAACGTTTTGCTTTTATGTGGCAAGCATAAAAATCACGGAACGGATTTTATGGAAATTGCCTTTTTGATGCTAAAGAGATAGAGTATATTCGATTAAGAATGTCCATGATTTANACCTAAGCCCCCTTTCCGTAGACCAGGTCACATATGAAAAATGAGCAGGAAAAAATGTTACTCATACGCTATGCAAACTTGAAAATATTTCGAAAACTTATTCTTAGAATAAAAAATTAACTAGATTTTCGGAATCAGCGAGCAATTCTATATAGAAATTGGATAGTGGCGTCCCTTGAAAATTTTTCCTCTAAACCAGTGTCATTTTTCAGTTTCTGTCCTTTTTAGTGCCTTATTTTGCTTTTTTTTGCTATATCTAGTGCCTATTCCTGCCTATTTCGCTATTTTGTTTTGCCTATTTCATAGGTTTTTAGGTCCTAAAAATCCGTTCCGTGATAATAATTAACCTAGCTAGGTACAAATTGATCGAACGGTTACCGAGATACACATACATATGTGGTCATAAGTGGGCGGGGTCACGCCCATTTTCCGAACTTTTGTTATAAACGTATTTTTTGCAAAAGAATTATTGCAAACGTCAATTTTGAATGAATTAGCTTCAGTATTTACTGATTTATCGAAAATTTCGTGTTTCTCTAAATTACCGTTATATGGGATGTGGACGTGGTTATTGTCCGATTTAAAAAAATTTTCAGCCGTTTGATATGTTTTGTAAAGACCAAGAACTGTGCCAAGTTTGAGTAAAATCGATAAGGCGTTTTCCAAATTTATAATATTCTTATTTTTCGTCTAAAAATCATTGTAAATATCAATTTTGAGTGAATAAGCTTCAATAGTTGCTAAAATATCGCAGTTTTCGTATTGCTGAAAACTACCGTTGTAAGGGAGGTAGGCATAGTACTTGTCCAATTTTTCGCATTTTCGATACCATCCGCCCTACGCTGGAATGGAGTACTCATACCAAGTTTCGTTAAGATATCTCAATTTTTACTCGAGTTATCGTGTGCACGGATGGACGGACAGACAGACATCGCTTAATCGATTTCTTTTTTTCATTTTGATCAGTTATGTATACATTTGTCTATGTCTATCTCGAATTATTTTGCCTGTTACAAACAACCGTTATGTGCCTTTCGTCTGTCTGTGTCTGTCTGTCTGGAAGCTTACTTCGAGAGTGTTTGTGAGTCGTAAAAATTTTCGTCCCTCACTCGTTCGTAAAACAGCCAAATTCGAATATTTTGCATAGTTATTTTATACAATTAAAAGGGGTCAGGAACAAAATTAGTATTTGGCTGATCATAAATATTAATTAAGCAAGTAACCAAGATAGCCCAGAGGATGATTTCCTTATATGTATGTAGTATGTGGGTCGTTCTTAAAAAACATGACCATTCTGAATTTTGTAATTTTTAAAAATTACAAAATTCAGAATGGTCATGTTTTTTAAGAACGACCCATGTACATTAGGCTGATCCAAAAATAAACAGGGAAACCAACTACCATCGATATTTTTATTTCTTTTCTTCACTAGAAAAATTATATGTATACTCCTTCCCTTCTTATCCGAATGAGCTTCCATCCAAGCATTCAAGGTATGTCATTTAATTGAACTTCACAGAAGCTGCTCTAGGGCTGATCACCCGAATAATAACCGTTTACAGAATGTATTCGCTAGCTTGGCTGCAAGGCAATGCCTTCAAATAAAGAAAAAAGTACATGGTCTTGATAAATTAAACTCATTTTAGGGGAAAAACTGACGGACCCATCATTTATAATTTACACATTTTTATTTTGTCTCATGGCAAAGAACTGATAACCTTTGTTCGAGTATGTGTGAACAAGAAAAAAGTCTTTATAAATATCAAGGGGATCTTCGTTTGGGGATTTTATAAAATTCTAGTGTAATACATACTCATATATGTACGTATGTATGTACATTTTTGCAAGCGTACCTTAGGTATAAAATATCTGGGCGCAAATTTCAAATAATTCAGTTCGAACTGTAGCTTTGAGGTTTATTCATTAATCTAGTTAAAAATGTTTACGAACGTATTTATTTCAATTTGCATTCTAACAGTTGCATTGGCTTATCCTCAACAACAGCAGCCACCACGGGACAAATGGCAGAGTGTAAGCGAGACATTATCCATTTTTTTTTAATATCAAACAATTTTTCATAATATAAACTATTGCAGCCACCGGACTCTCAACGCTTTAATCCTCAGTTGAATATTCAGGGAGGTGGTAGTCCTCATAAAGGCATAGATTTAAACGTTGACACTCGTGTTCCCGTTTGGCAGAGTAACAACGGACGACACTCGTTTGATGCAACTGGACAATATTCGCAGCATTTAGGTGGACCCTATGGAAACAGTCGACCAAATTGGGGTGCAGGTGGTGTATACACCTATAGGTTTTGAGTGAGTGTTATAAGAAATTTGTTAAAATACATATGTAAATAATAAATTGTTTGAGTTTGTGGTAAGATTTTTTTACCTAAGAAAATACAAGATTCTCTGCATTTGATAACCGGATGAGGATGCGCCGGGTTATGGAGACGTCGATCTCCACCCAGTGTTTCTGCATAGATACCGGCGTCTTCAAGTTTTCGTCGACTACGGCCATCAATAGACTACAGCGGTTTGGAGCAGATGAAGTAGCCTTCTTAGGCTTCTTGCTCTCTCTGCCGGTAGTGCTGTCGTTTTGATATTCGCCCCTTTGCGTTATGTCAGGTGGATTGGGCTTTCCCGATTTCTGCTCTTTCAAGGAGCTCTCATATTCGTCAAGTACCTGCTTGTAGCATTGAGAACCTTCAACTAATAGGAGCCGAGTTGCTGGATATTTTACCCAGCATTTGTGGTAGCGGCTTTTCCTGATTTGATTCAGTGACTTTTTATGTTTCTTTTTTTCCTCCCCCAGCCGCCGTTGTACTATGGCTGGTACTACCGGCGGCGTTAGAGGTAGGTGGACATTCTTGGGTGTTGGGGATTCCTTGTTGTTGTTATTCTGCTTGAGCTTCCGGTGCATTGTGCTACTGGGAATACTTTCAAATGTCTCGTGACTAGAAGAAAGTAGGTTATCCTCATCAGACTCCGTAACAATGAGGCTCGGTTTCCGATAAGAAATTGCCGAAGTCATTAGTCCAGTTCGTAGCAGGGTCCGTTATCGAGTTTGTATCGTTTTTTTGGTTTAGTTCTTGTTTTGTCATTCGTTGCCGCCATACGTAGAAAAGGCACTCACACAACCTCAGACTTTTCCTGGGCATCGGAGGGGACCGTTAGCGACCAGCTATTCATTATGAGTCCGGAGTCCGCTGACCATTCAGCCATCGGCACAGGTACCTCAACACCTTGGTTTAGGGTGTTCCTGGTGCGTCACAGCGTTGAAGGAACTTATAAATATTTTTCTTTTACATATATAACAAATGAGGCAATAAGTTTTGGTTCTAACTTATAATAAAAAGGCATAAAGACAGTAAGAAATTGCAAACAATATTTTTTCTTTTTCTTCGTCAAAAAAATTTTGAGTGTGAAAAACATCAAATGGCATTGAGCGTCAAATCAGAATTCTCAGGGATAATTTTTGTAGTAAAAACAAGGTCAAGTCAGAATTTCTAAATAAAGCAAATAATTCTTCCCAAATATATTTACTCGATCAGGAAAATATTCGTAAACGTGTCTGAAAGTGCAAGGTCCTTTTAGTACCTTTTCCCCTGTTTTTTTTTTTTTTGAAAGTTTTTCCGGATACTAAAAATACACGAAAAACGCGTTGGTGGAAAAAGGTATGTTTGGTAAACGCATTAACTAGACAAAATTTCATTAGTTTGCGAAGCTAACGAAAACAACAACGATGATATGCAATTCTGTTAAATTGATAGAAAAAATATTAACGACAGTAGAAAAATTTGTTACTTAAATTAAATAAGTACACAATCATGCTTTAATGTTTTCAGCGTTAAAAACAGCTAACATGTGTATGTGCATGTGTTTGCATCTGCATTTAATTTTTTAACAAGACATTTCGCGAAGCGAATCATTTTACAATTGACAATTAACCTTCTCAGAAGCAGTCAAGAACCTCAGTCGTGCCTCTGCCCCGTCAATGTTTTGTGTCTGCAGCACTAGGAGGGCACGTAGTGGCATAAACTGCGGCGCATGTTGCAAATGAGTGATCATTAAATATATGAATTTTTTATACTCACATTTATATTTTGGCTGCCATGTTTTAATGAAGAATTCACTTGTTGAATAATAGTTTTCAATATAGAAATAATCAAAAGATTAGCTGAAAATAAATTTTAATAAAACTCCGCTTATAGATTTTCTAAATTTTGTAGTCAAATGCGAATTGGGCGGGGACGTACATTAGCACATTAGTACTACAAAATGCTCAGCGTAGTTGCCGTATAATTTGTACGATGTACAAAGTGTCAAACTGTTGAAAAGGTGAGTGATGAGTAACGATGATAAAGTGGTTGGAAGTGATACAATGGATGACTAAACAATGATGCTGATTATTCGATGCCTGAGGACGATGCTTATTCTGCTCAGTGGTAAATTCTTTAAAGTTCTTAACAAGCTGCACCTTCATATTAGGCTAACACATTTCAAAATACATGTAATTCCTAATTGCCGTATATACTATATATGTGTATAAAAAAGTAGCTGCTTAAATTTTGAAATCGATAAAATGTATGTTGCCTTGGGCCGATTGTAGAAAGTTTTAAGCTGACCAACCGTCCTCCTTTGAGGAGGATTGTCCTCCTCAAACGTGATTTGTCCTCCTCAAAAATTTTGTCCTTCTCTGTCCTCCTTTTGAGCAAAAATGTCCTCCTTGTCCTCCTTTTCAAGTTTTGTAGCTGTAATGAACTTTTAAAAAAATTTGCTTTCAGAATATTATTATTTTCTAATCGTTGTATTTAATAGGTGTTTACATTGTTCCAATTTCAGTTAAATGATGTAAACATTTGATTCAACTAATCGACAGTGAATCGTCTTTAGCCCTAATCAATAATATTTTACCATTTACAAGATTGATAGATTAGCTAACGACGCGTCTCCACAGGTGGAAATTATTGCCTACCATATGTCATTTTGTTTGCCAGATACACACATATGTAGGTATAGGTTTTATCAGCGGCAAAATTTGTGTATGAGGATTTTTTATCTTGATAAATGGTTTTGTAAGATGGCTTAAAATANCTTTTAATTTAACATACCTAGATTACGGCTGCCATAATCCTAATCCATTAGTCTAATCGACTAAGACACTTATCATCCAAATCAAAAACGAAGACACAAGTGAA